TATGAAAAAATCCATTATTAGTGTAGTATATTATTATATCCCATGTAATTAGTATATTAGTATATCGCTATTAACCTACTTCGCGTTGAATTTTCATCGATGTTAAGCCTAACAAAAATTTTTTTAAATAATAATTGTTGCTATTGTATCATTAAAAATTAGAAAATTAAGACTCGTTTAAATATTGGCTCCCTTTCATGGTTGAATGAGTGTTGCCAGCTAAAACACATAAAAATAATATTAAAGTAGCCAAGACATAGCCAAATATTGTAGCGCCACATCACTAGCGGACATTTGAAATTTGCCGACTAGGACGGTCGGTTAACTGAGGTATCGGTTAATCGGGGGTCGGATAATCGAGGCTCTACTGTATTAAAATAAAAATATTTATTATTAATCAAAAATTTGTTCTAGCGGGTGGTTGTTCAGGTCAAGTACCGAGGCACCTCTGTATTTGATTAATGAAATTTTGATATATAGCATTGAAGGATTAATTAACTGTGTTAATCAAGGGATACCTGTATGCATCAATATGAAAAGACAGAAAAAGTGTTAAGAGGATGTAAGGTTATATACCTTAATCACTTTACAATTTGTGGAATTTTTTTACTTGATCCCAAAGGCAAGTTTGTCCCCCTCTGTGGATGTCCATGGATATACAGTATATAGGAGCCAGATATATATTATATATATAAGTTCATAGAATTTTTCAAATCTTATAATTCATATTTAGTTACATAAGAAAATGAAAATTAATTTTAAGATTTGAAAATAATTTATTCAATTTGCAAATATTAATAAATTTCTGAAACTAACACTTTATTAGGTTTGTGTAAATTTAAAAAAGAAACTCTCTCCTGTACATGTCTCTTTCTTTAAAATATTTTAATCTATCATCAAATAAAATAAAATTTTAATTATATTCCTTGTAAAATTTAATTCAATAATACTGTTATATGGCAATATTTCTATACATAACAACAAACAAAACAAAATTTTAATTTATAAGTCTATATGACATAAACTTTAACAATGATGATGATAACTTAATATGCTATAAAATTAGATAATGCTGAAAATTATTGTTACAATCAGAATATTTTCTACTGATACAGTTTTTATTTTTATTTTTTATGTTAACTAGTTATTTTCATTTACTTATTTAAATAATTTGCATTTATTATAATAAAATAAAGCCAATTTTTACCTATTTTACATCATTTGTAAAACTTTTTTTATAGTTTTATAAAAGTTCTTTGAGTTTTTTCCATAAAAAAAACAAATTTTATTTCAGTATGAAGATTGGAATCCTGTAATATAAAATTAATCATCACTAAAAGTAATTATTAATATAACATAAAATTTGTTGCATATTTAAACTATGTTTGCAACTATTATCAAGTTATAATATATTAAAAAAGCTGATATAAATAAAGAAATGAAAATACTGGTATATAGACAATTATACGACTACTGCCAAAGTGTGAGAGTTTTGAATAGCCTCTCCTTTTAAAATTTGTGAATTGAAAAATAAAATACATGAAATCATGAAATGCATTGAGATGACAAAAAAAAAGGTAATTTTCTTTTTCTTTTTAAATATTCAAAGTTTGCTTTATAATTAGAGAATATATTTTAATAAATTTGAAAGTTTGCCATTATATAGTATATGTTTGTAATTCCAAATATTAGTGAAAAGCTTTAAAATTTTTTTAAACAATCTTCACAAAATGAAGGATGTTTAAAAAAATTAAAGTTTTTCACCAATTTGTGTTATTTCATAAAGCAAAAGTTTCATAAATTCTTAAAGCTTTTCGATAATTGATGTATTTTATTTTAGCTTTATATATAAAATGTTAGAGTATACAACAAAATTCTCTCTCTCATTTCTCTGTCAAAATTCTCTCATTCTTTTCTCTACTTTACATATATTTTAAAATGAGGGGGGAAAAAAACAGGAAGAATTTGTAACTAAATTAAATCATTTAAGCAATATAACTCAATCTACATTTTTTTATTATTAACAGCATAAAGACCCCAAGCATTTTGAATAGCAAATCAGTAAGATGAATTCTTTGGAATTGATAAGAATAAAGTGATCATTAACTGAAAAATTACAGATATTTATTTATATAATAAATAATATATTCCATTCCATGAGATTACAGTAATAGTAATGTATGTAGACAAGGTTGTTTTTACAAATAATAAAACAATAAGAATTGTTTATAAAGATGTTTGAGACATTCCTTAAGATGTATTTTCTGTACAAAGACAAAACACAGAATAATTTTACACAGCAGACACAGTTCAGACATGATTGTGAAAACATATATAAATTTCCTGAATTTAATAATAATTTTATTAATGTTCTCTCCAATACTAAACAGAATAAGTAATAAGTAAAGTGAAAATATGCTATTATTAATTTATTTTATTTCTGAATATAAAAGTGTTAGTTTATAAGTTATGATTATATTAATTATTAATCTAATAATAATAAGTTAGTATGGTATAGTCTTTTTCATACAAGATTGATTTATGCAGATAGTGAATAGATGAATAGTAAGTTTGACCCACTCCTAGTGTCACTGAAACTAAGTTAGAAAATCATGCTTCTACAGCTTCTGACATTCCAAACATAAATGCTACACTGTGGTACCTGCTTGGTTTATGTGTATAATGAGAAAGTGAAGCTTTTAGATAAGTATCAAAAAAGATCTCTTAAGTTACGTGTTTGGTGTCAAAGAATGCATCATACAATACATAAAAAATATTTACTCAAGTATTTTTCTCAAGTAGTGTGCTTGATATGGTGTAATAAAATTTTGCTCTGTATATTCAGAAATACTGGACTAAAAATTTATTCATTATAGTAAAAGTGTAAGTAAAGCAATTTAAACATGCTTAATGTTTTTCTGTTAACTGTATTCATTGCATAACTGGTCATCTGAAACTATTTGAGGTAAAACACAAAATTTATATGGAATTTTGTTCTATGTATCAGCTTATACACAATCACCATGTAAAATAAAACTATACTGTACTTCTGTTAACACACGTAATTAGATATTAAAAATATGAGATATATTTGATCAATTTTATTAAAACAACTTACAAAGTGTTTGTTTGATCTTAGATCAAAATATACAATACATGTTGATGAATATACTAAGAAAGCAGTATCAAAAAAGGTTTTCAGATGCAAGTTAGAAAACAAAAATTTTATGCAAATAAGAAGAATATTTTAAAAATTAGCTTAAATATTAATAAAATAAAAATACATTTTAGTTTTTAAATAAACTTCATACATACCTAATATAAACATCAATAATCTGATCGTTCTGGAATGTTATTTATATTTCTATCATTGTCATAATCAGCTCTCACTGAAAAGTTATTTAAAAGAAATTAATATAATATCAACAGTAATCAAGAACATTACAAAATAAATAATTTATTCATTAATGAACAAAAATAAATATGGAATTTAAATTATTACCTTCAATAATTGTTTGAAACAATTTGAAATTATTGAAAGATTGAACAATTTTTTAAAAGCTAATTAAACATTTTAAATTATTAGAAAAGTTAAGTGCTTTTCATTGCTTTATGGTTTTTGTATAAAGATTAAATTTTTATTTTACTGAGAATAAAAATTGAATTCCATCATAGAAAATTTGTTTTAAATTAAAAAATTACAATAGTTCAATAATGTGAGAAGCTGGGGGTAGAGAGTTGAACTCTAAATCCCTTTTAACAGCAACGAATTGGCAGGATTCACTCACATTGTCACTAGATGGTTGGGAGGGGAAAAAGTCGAATGGAGAGGTCACGTGGAATAAGTCAATAGGGCATCAGCAATATGTGAGTGAGAGCAACCATTTTAAAATTCAACAAGTTTAATAGAAAAATAAAGCATAAGATACAATTATAGCTATGCATTACTATGCTAGAGGTCAATGACCTAGACCAGCGGTCGGCAGTTTGTCAAGTGAGAAGAGCCAAATTGTCATGAAAACAAGATAACAAAAGTACCAGAGAGCCGCATATTAATTTAAATGTGCAAAATACGACACACGACAGGGGCGTCTTTAGTGGACGTTTTTGGCATAATGTTACACGGATGGACGGACACGCGTTCAATGTGTTATACATATAGATATGCTTCAAATGCTACCACTCTTATGCGACACATATTGATCAATGCGAGTGTGGTCATGTGCAGACGGCATACGACTCTATCTCATAAAGGCATAAGTCATAAGGCTGCAGTGAAATGAGGTGAGGTGAAATTGGAGTTTATGTTCGAAGAGCCGCAAACGTCTATGCAAAGAGCCGCATGCGGCTCGCGAGCCGCTAATTCCGACCCCTGACCTAGACTATAGGCATTTATAATTATTACTACTGGCCATAACTTGAATGCTAAATGACCAAGTGAGAGAGTTTACAATCAAGATATCCAAGATACAAATTTACAATTGTATAATACCTTGAGACTTGATGGTTTTGGATCCTGTTCATTCGATGTCGGTAAGACAATCGTGAATCTAGTCGAGGTAAAATTCCAAATGGCCCATATCTGGATGGTGAGATGAGAGGGATGAAAAGTCACAAGTCAAAGCTAATCCATAGCATTTCACTAAAGATTGGGGCACTTGCATTATAAGGGTATTTAGTGTGGAAATCTGATCAGGTGACCATTTGTTTGGTAGTGATGGCACGTCAAAGGTGTCATAGCTGGCTGATGGAAACTAAATAATAGTCGATTCAAAGGTTTCGTATTTCATCCTTAGACAAAAGTTAAGTGTCAACTTTCTCACATATTTGCAATAATTTTGCGAGTCAATGAGGAGGAGGAGGACTTGTTGACCGTTAAGCTCTGTGGAAAACGGACAGTAAAAGGGAAAGTTTCTAGACATATCTTTTTGTTATAATTTTATAAAAAGACAGTCTCTGTATCCTCACAATAATATGGACAATTATTAAAGTTTGACTATAAAATAAATTTTACCAATTGGATTTTTTTGTGTATTAAATGATTGAAAGATTTTGCAGATTAATTTTCTGCGATATGGTTGCAACTTTTTGAACCAAGATTGCCAATAAGTTGCAAATTTGTGATCAAATGAGACAAATCTGTGATATTGCAGGTTTTGAGTGACAAAATATCAGTGGTAGTCACATTGTGTAAATCAGCCTTAATTTTTCACAAGTAATTTGAATTAAGAGTTTTCCTGACTATGCAGCTGTAAAATTAACAATGAGTATGAGTAAGATTATTATAATAATGATAATTTCCTTGTTAATTCTCAATTATTTAATATTTGTAAGAGTGAAAACATTTTTGAAATGTAGCCCAAAAAATAGTGAGTCACCCAAATCTAGTAGCTAGAGCCCTACAAATATCTCAGTCTGTTACTTCTAGTCCAACTTGCAACCATGAAACCCAGCCATATTTTACAAGATAGGAGAGAAAAGGTAGTAGATGTACTCAACTACTACTCTTTCTTTCCTATCTCAGGTGAAACCCAAAAATGTGTTATTGTAAAAGCAAAGCTATGTTGACCAGATTAGAGTTGTTTGTAGTCTACTATTCTCTTATAGTATGGAAGCACATGAACTTCAATCTAAACATATGAGTTAATATACACATATCAGAGTTTGGACAGAATTTTCACTTCAAATTTCAAAGCAGCCATATTTCAAACTAACTGAATTTAAACTTAATCTTTTTAAATATAAAATAAATATTAATAGAATATAGAATTATATTAAGATAAAATTTTACAAAAACTCAACTGTTATCTATTTGCTGATCTTGGTTATAATCTCCGTCCATTCTGCTTGCATTGATTTCGTTATCAAATGGAACTTCTCTCTGGAATTGAATGTCTCTGTTATTCTGTAAGTCAGGTTTGATGTATTCTGGTTGCTCGTTCATTTCAAATGAAGAATGCCTAACATTTGGCACTCTATTTATTATTAAATTATCAAGTTTAATTATACTATTACGCTGATCTACAGGAGATTCCAAAGTTATTATCGGATCAGAAGTTATGTTTGAATTCACTAAGCTAGACTAAATGTAGAAAAGAATAAAGGAAACAATTATGTTTTTAAGTAGGAAATATATAAATTGTTTTTGAATAAAAATTAAAAACTAACCTTATTTAATGGAATCTTTTCAACATTTTTATGTTTTTTATACAAATCTGATTCTATATAATTTAATACTTTAATAGAATGTGTATCATTGCTTGATGATTTTGTTGAATTAATTGTTGTATTATGTGTTTTAACTTTATTATTGTTTATAATATGTGGTAAAGGAAGTGGTAGCTGATTTACTGTCTTTTCAGTTTGGTTATTTAAAGTTGGACTTGTATTGTCATGATGAATTAAAACCAATTTAGACACAGTACTTTCAGTCATATTAAGTGATGTATTTTTTAAAGAATTATTTAGTTTCTCCTTGAGTGTAGTTTCAGTTATAGGAACATCTAGTTGCCGATTTCCTCCATTTAAATCTGTAAATGGCACTGAGGTATTCATGTTTAATGTTTCATTAAATTCATTTCCAATGACTGTCTCTTCAATATTTTTGCTGCTCTCTATTATCTCAGATGGATGAGAAACCTAAATGATAAAATAAATTATACTTTTATTTTTCAAAAGTTGTAAAATTTATCTAAATTATTAATATATTTTTAATTTTATATTATTGAATTTTTAAAACTAAATAAAATTTCATTTAAAATGATTTTTTTTCATTTTTAATGAATGTAAATTAAACACAAACATTGCATGATTTTTATAATTTTACAGTGGTTAATTTCTGTAAAAACCTTTAAAGTATTTTGCTCTTAATAAATCTAAACAAACAAAAAATTTGGTACTGAATATAAACCATATCCCAATATTCAATTAGCCAAAGACTATAGATTATTTATAGGTTACATGCACTAATTTTTAAATAATCATTACACGTTATAAATAATTGGTCCAAACATAGGCAGTTAGGTCATCATATGTGCTAAGGTTGCTAATTTAATTCAATTAATTAATTTATAAATTAAATAAAATTCTGAAATATTTTGATTGACTCAGAATGGAACTCAAACATGCAACTTTTGGTTACTATGCAGATGCATTATCTAACAAGTTAATTGTTGAGATGACTGGGGATGTCTTACCCAATAGTTCCAATCAATTTTAAGTCAAATTATGATTATATAATTTTATTTAATAATTAGTATAATTAAGGCCTGTAAATAATCAAGCTTAAGTCTCTGGTTAATAAAATTTGGTTTAAAAAGAATGTTCAGAATTTATTATTGAAATTATTTATGAAGATATTAAGAAATTGAAGGTGAGGAAGAGATCAAATTTTACATTTAAACTATTTCAAAACAGAATAAGCAATAAGTTGATTTAAATATCAATGTTAACAATTTCAAACATCTCATTTCATATAAATTAGGTTAAGAACTATCTAAAAATGCAAAAATACAATTATAGATATATTTCATCCTCTGATATTTTGTGATTTTCATCTAACACTCCACTGACATTTTAGCTCCAATGGACATATTTTGAATATGTTGAATGTTTCCAAAATTAAAAAAGTGGGTGTTTTACTTTACCATTAGGGCTTATAAATTCTAAATATCAAATTTGTGTTAGCTTTATATATTTATTTATTGATAATATGCATTTATTATCTACAGTGTGACAATAAAGTTTCTGAACTGATCTTACTGTTGAAAATCCAGCAATGCCTCGCTGCAAATGATTATAAAATTTGTTAGTATATATCAATACTTTGATGCTAAGCCAAAAACTGAAATTTGCTTCAATGTGTTTGACTTAATATTGGACAGTGGTTCAAGTTTTTGTACAGGTGTCACAATCAAATATGAAACAGTAGGCTTCAATTAAAATTTGTATTAATCTCAAGAAATCGGCATTGAAATGTATGAACTGTTGAAAGAAGTTTACAGAGATGCTTCTTTATCAAGAGCAACATTTGAGTGACACAGGCAATTTAGAAAAATGAGGAAATCATTGTGTGATGATGAAAAACATGGCTGTCCATGGACATTGAGAACAAGTGAATCTGCAGCTCTCATCCAGAAACTGTTAGCTCAGAACAGAACTTTAAGAATTCAAGTGCTCAAGCAATTGACTATAATCAATCAAGATACAGCAAACTTCATGTTAACTCAAGATCTTGGTAAAAGAAAGGTTTGTGCATATTTTATTCCCCATTTGCTGACATAAGATGAAAAAAAAAAAAAACATTAATGTGTTGTGTTGTTTCAAGAATTTGTCAAAATGGCTGATGCAGATTAAAACTCAATTGTCATAGCAGACAACACTTGATATTTTTCACATACAATCCCAACACCAAACAACAGATTATGGCACAGTTGAATCCAAAAAAGCAAAAAGCACAGTCAGAATACAAAATTCCTGCATAAAGACAATGCTCATTATTTTTTCAACTTCAAGCGAGTTATTTACAAAGAATTTATCCCTGAGGGACAAACTGAAGGTGGAAAATATTACATTGGTGTACTGAACAATTTCTGAAGTATATTCATTAGGTGCAGCCTCAACTCTAAGAAAAGTCATCTTGGTTCCTGCTCCATGACAATGGATTCAGCATATTCATCAACACTGGTCACTAGTTTTTGGCAAAAAATGTGTTGTGCTTCCACACCCCTCTTATTTTGGCAGACTTTTCCCTATTTCCCAAGTTAAAACTAAACTACCCAAAAATAAAGCAAAAGCGTTATTTTTGGGGTAAGAGTGAGTTTTTAAAAAAATTAGTAAAATGCCAATGAGTAAAATTTTCACTGTCTGACCCCATTCAAGATATGACTCCCTCTTTATCTTTCTACCCCTTGACTTATCTCCAAAATGTAATAGCCAATGCACCACATATAGAAATATTCACATATAGAAATAAAAATTCTTGATATATAAAGCAAAATATAGGCCAACACAGAGAATTTTGTTCTTTTTTTTTATGTTTTTTAAATTGGGAGCTTAAAATGTCAACATATGCTGAAGGTCAAAATTTGACCAATCAAAATACTTTCCCTCTGTTACTTTAACAGCTGGGGAAATAACTGAGTGGACTTTTTTGATGATGTACAGTACAATACCATCCATTCATAAAAGTATGACAAAAGAGCTGCAGGTTATTCCACAGATGGCTTCTCAGCACATTTTATATTGCTATACAGTCATTGTAAAAAAGAACATATAGACAGCAAAGTGAGTCTACTTTGCTATATTAATTAAAAGACAACCATAAAAAAATTTATGTCTGTTTTTGTTCTGATACAATAAAATCAGTCTGAAACTTTATTGTGTAATGGAATGAATTTTCACAAGAAAATATAACAGATAAAATGAATTAAAAAGTAAAAAAAAATACCAATAAAATAATTACTAAGAAATTGAATAATTTATAAAAATTGACTTTGGTAAAAGTATAGCATTACAGATTCAGGAAAGAAAAATATTAAAATTAAATTTTTGTTATTAAAAATTAAATCATTTATTAAAACGTTTTAAGAAGTTTTAATAATTCTTCACATTATTAAAACTTTTAGGCTATGTTAATAGATTATGAATTATAAATGTTCATTAAAAAGCCTTTTAAAATTTTTAAGTTTATCCTCTCTATATACATATACAACATAGCCCAAAAGTCACTTAATGAAAACATGTTTTATCAATATTTTAAGAATAATTAAAACTGATTTAGAATAGCTGCATATTATTTTTAATTAAATTGCTTCAGTTTGTAAAATATATCAGTTAACTAACTTGGGCCACATCATTTCTTATATATGACTGGAAAACAAGGAATGATTTTAGAATTTAAGAAATTAAATGCAAATTACAATTTTTTAATGATAAAGAAGTTTTAATTTGATAAAAATTTGTTTAAAATTTATATTCTTACTGTATTTCTAAGAAGCTTTGCCCCCTATTCCCAATGTAGACTATTCATAACAAAAATTTTGTGAAAATTCATCTATTCCCAGTGCAGCTGTTTCTATTTTAAGTTTCCTTTTTTGCATATAGTGTATCTGTAAACATATTGTTGCACTTTTCTCTGTATACAGTGTACAGAGCTAGTGACTGAGCAGAACAAAATTATCAATCAATAAAGATGGGAGAGGTTAAATTTTGATTCTTTTAGTAGTCTTGCACGAAACCCTGGCCCTATCATCTTATGATTTTGAAATGATCCATGAACCAGCAGTAAGTAGTATGGTGAAACAGTGGTACTAATGTTTTTTGAGTGGTGAGATTTGGAGGGATCTCCAGTGAGTACCAGCCCATGTGTGATTCAGACTGCAGTCCATAGGTAGATAGATAGGAGAAATTTGTGCAGTCCTTGGTATATAAACATAGTGCATGTTTATTTGTATAAAAACATATGTATTGGGTACCACTTGCCCCAAGGATTTTGCTCACTTGTTCAAAAATTTCCTGATTATTTGTCAATTCCTGGTGCTGCCATTTCTTTCTTTTTTGATGAAAAAAGCATTGTGACAATTTTAAGCCAAGTATTTTATACATATAGAGTAGATATTGTATTTATAATTTTACATGATTTATAGAATAAAAAGGTTTACTTAAAAGAGTGTTTTCATATTAACATTAGATATTCAGAATAAAAATTAAATATTTAAACTAACTTAATTTTAAGGAGTTAAAGTTTGTATTAAAGTTCTTTGATTAATAAAACTGAAAATTACTATTTATTAATTTTTATTGTAACTAGTTGCTTTGGGGAGTACACATTTTCTATTACAGTATATGTATTTAATCAAAAATATATCTTGATTTAGACACTTCCTAAATATTTTATAATTAAATATCTTAAATAATCATTTGTTATTATACAGTCGACCCCCCTATAAGATCATTGATTATTCCGTTTTATATGAATTCCATGTTGTACGAGTCACTTAGATTTTACAAATACATGTACCGGGCTGTGAACGGCTCACGTATTTGTAAAATTTAAGTGACTCGTACAACATGGAATTCATATAAAACGGAATAATCAATGATCTTATAGGGGGGTCGACTGTATTGGCTANGCGTGATTCCCGGCCAACCAATTAGCCATCACCAGCCGTAACGTTATGCAAATCTGTGATTCCCAAGCCATAGTCTTATGCAAATCATGCCGTGTGGCGTAATTGTCTGCTGACCAATCAGTGGCTGTACTTTCAAAAAGCCAACGGCCACTTTCAACCATCTGTCGATGACCGTTACGACTAAAAATAAACTTCGCTAGGTCTTACTTTCAGAGGGAGGTCTTATATTTCGCAATTCAGCAAAATCTGTGCTAGGTCTTATTTTCTGCGGATGTCTTATTTTCGGGGAAACACAGTATATGAATGTATCATCTAGGTTTACTGAAATACAATATTCAAATTGTCTTATCTAATGACTTATTCACTTGAAACTACTATTATCAAAATATATTCATAAAACTCAATTCTGAATGTTTTAAAGATGTATTAATCTAGTTTGAATAAATTAATTATTAACCAACAATTTAGTACTCTTCAAATGTAACATGAAAGGGCATCTGTTAAGAATCCCCTTCATTCTTTTCATCTTGCACCGAAATTTTGCTAGTACATATAACACAAAATTCAAAGAGAATTGGTCAATTTGTTTTTCAGTATGTTTAAAGTATTGCTGAGATATCATGTTTTGGACTCAAATTACAAGTCTTGGATTACATGCAACTGATCTGACATTGACACTTATTACCCAATCATAAGTTTTGTAATGCATGCTCTACAATGAAAGTAACTAAGTAAATAAAAACACATTTTTTCACAGGAATCTAAATTTTGTCTGAAAAAAGAGGTGAAAGAGGTAATAAAGGATGGTTTCATGCAATGTGTAAAATTTTTAAAAATTATGGAAATTACTTTTATTCAGAATTCTCTAAGAGGCACATGATAGGATGACTCTTAGAGAATCCCGAAACATTAAAAAAAAACCAGTGAAATCTTTTGAACAAGAATTTTTATGTAATCTGAAAGAGCAAGGAGTACAGTACCAGGAGGATATACTCAGATATAAAATATTTTAACAATTAACAAAAAAATCCAATAATTTGAGTGATCCCTAACAAGCGTCCTACAACAGATTAAAAACTTTTTAAAAATTTACTACATTATGCAGTAAATATAATGAAAATCAATAAAAATATAAGAAAAATTACCTAGTATATATATTTTTTTTAATGTAATATACATTAATATTTGATTAAGATTAATCTTTTATTCTTTACTTGTATCAAAATCAGTCATCTTTATGTTATGAAATTCATTAACCTCAGTTCTTATTTGTTTCTGAAGTCAGATTTTTATCTTCAAGAAACATTTAACAAAAACAGAGAAAATGACTCATTACAGTTATACTAAAATGTATTTTTTTCTCTTATCATAAATAAATTGAATATATTCTTCAAATTTTCATTTTTTTAACTAATTAACAAAAGACCGTCATCAGTATTTATCAGAATACAATAATGTAACAACCTTGATAATTAAATTGAATGGTATGTAATCTTATTTTATTAATATATTGATATAATTTATGATATCAATTTAAAAATGAGTTTATTTAATGCACATGCAAGTTCTTAATAACCACCTTTTCAAATTACTTTTATGAATAACTATATTTATTCTTAGTATTTACAAAACATATTTTTCCTAACAGATGTTTATATAGTTTAAAATTTTCAGTTTTTATATTACTATCATAAAAGAAATGTATCTAGTTATCCTATCTTTATTACAAGTAAAATTCAAATATGAATTTTGCATTCTAACTGTAAAAAAAATAATAAAAATTTGTATCTGTAAAATTATAAAATTGTAATGTAATTTAACAAAAAGTTTTAATATTTTAAATTAAAAAATAACAACAGTATACATCAGAAACTTGGATGAATAATCTTTTTATTTTTATAAAGAGCATATAAATTTCCATTTTGCTGTTTTCAAATTTTAATATCTTTCAAATTCTACTACACTACAACATTATTTTGAAATTAACAAATAAATAAACTATATATATTTATATATATACATGTATATAATTTTTTAACTGAAAAATTATTACTAAAGTTTAGCAAAAAATAATTGCTAATGAATAAAACTGAAGTCTTTTCAATTTGTAATATTTTTTCTAATGTAAATAAGTTTCTCAAAATAGCATTGATTATGTGTTAAAATTTATTTCCTAAAATAGTAAATTTGTAGAAAATATAATTTCATATACAGATCAATACTGTAGCTGTCCTGATTATATTGTTAAAAATAAAATAATACTAAGAGAAATAATTGATGTTAAAATTATAAAACAAAACAGAACTAAAACAAAATAAATTTATTTTATTTCTTACTTTTAATGTACATAATTTTAACAACATGTATATAAAAATAAAAATTTATTCAAACAAAATCAATAAATCTTATTCTATAATATGTCCATGAATAACAGCATTATGATTCATAGGTAATTTACTATTTACATGATGATTTTCTAATTCATACAAATTATTATGTGGAATAAAGTCATGAAAATTTATTTTGTTCTTACCCAAATTATGCAAATCAATTTGATGTGCAATTGGATATGGATATGCTATTTTAGCATTATTTTGGGAATGATTTTGCTGCCATGGGTAATGCTTATAAATTTGATAATTAGTTAGTGGAATATTATTGGAATGTTGCAGTAATAATTTATCATTATTATTATTATGAATATATTTTCTATCATGGTAAAAATATGGCTGTGAATCAACAAAATAATTTTCTTTATTAAAATTTTTGTTTAGTAAATCAATTTTCTCTCTACGTACCTTCATATCTGGAATATGCACAAGTTTTTCATTTGAATTTGAATTATTATGATCAAATTTCAAGACAGATTTTTCATGTGGACTGTCAATATGCAATTTCTCTTTCAAAATCAACTTTTCATGTGAAGTGAAATTCTTCATATTTATACAATTATTCAAGTGAAGTGAAACTTCATCAAACTGAAGCATTAGTTGACGATGCTGTTTTTCACAGATCATTAATTTACTCTAAAAAATAACAAGTTTATAGATTATATATGAGAAAAATGAAATTATTAATTTACTTTATGTACTTAAAGCAAAGTTAATTCATGAAATCTTTAAAAATCTAAAACTACCATAATTCTGTATAGATAAACCACAGGTTATTTGAGTTTTAAGTCAATTTTAAAGTAGATCTGGGTTATGTGATGATCAGATTATTGATTTTAACTTATAAACTTATCAATCTCTCATGTGTGAAGTGCCCCAAGAGTTTTTAGAAATCATGAAAAATTCATTTCATTACAAACATTCAACTGTCATCACAACTTTCTATTTAATTTTTTCATGTTTAAGTTTATTTTAGCATTTATTATTATTATTATTATAGTGTTGATAGATTGTATTCTGTTCAGTCAGTACCAATGCTTAATGATATGCCAGACCTAGGTCAAAACAGTACAGAAAAACTGTTACTATGGTTATATGCAGCTTGTATATTTATCATTTAGAAATTGATATAGCTATTTTCTATAATGTGATATATGTATCATTGTAAAGCCCTAATGTTTCTAGACTTTTGTGTACTATATGTAGTATGATTCATGTGCAAGAAAGGACTACAGACAATAAATATCTTACCCATTCTCCTCAGGCAAAGTTCTGAATATTTCCTAATTTTTTAAATGTATGTTTCTTGTATGTTGTGGTTGTTTGAAGCAGCTGTGTCTATGATGTATGTAATTTTGTTTTATCAATCAACATATTTGATCTATGGGGATAAATTGTTTTGTCTATAATTACAGCTCAGTCATAGTATATTTGTGTGTGTTGTTTTCTATGACATCTGAAGTGTGTATTTTTTGTAAGGGTTATAAATAGATAATAGTTTATGTTTGAATATGAGCTTTTGATGTATTAAATTTTCAATTTGGTTATGTCAATGTAAGTAGGCAGTATGTGTTGAAAGCTTGCAATCCAACATTATGTGAATCCACTTGTAAGAAATGCCACATCATGCATAATGTGGCATTTCTTAAAAGTATCATCTGATATCTGGAAGTGTTGTATTTTAAAATGTACTTTCTGTAGTATTTCGTATTTACAACCTGGCTTTGTATGAAGATCATAAACTCTACTCTCTCTCCATAAAGAGACTTCCAAGTCAGCCAGTTAGACACCATTTAACAACATAATTTTAGCTAACAAGGGGATGGTATAACATTGGGGTAACTGATTTCAATCAAACTCAGTGAGGTTATAATGCCTCTACAACAACTGACATGTGCCAAGCAGTAAGTGCAATACTCTAAATTAAAGGGAAAAATTAAAGTTGAAAATTGCAAATCACTTAAAACTATTAGAATTTCCACATTTATAGAGTGGCTCAGTGGGGCCAACAGTTTCGTAATTGTGATGGTGTTTCAAATCACATTAGTATTAATTTAGTGTTTTCCCTCCTAAAACTATAATTTTTAATTTATTATATTGTCAGAGAGAAAATTGATTTATTTTTAGAAAACTACAAATGCACAAAAAACAGGGTAAGAAAACAATAAAATCCATCTGTTTTAAGTAACAAGTCAATGTCAAAAGCAATTAACAATGTTTCCTAACAATATTTATTTAAAAACAAAGCATTTTCTGTATTTTCATGTACAGTACGCAGTATGTACTTACTCTGGTAACAGTCATTGTTTAACCTAAATATGTCTCTAACTGCATCTTTCTTTTCTAACGAACGAAAAGATGGCTTTGATATCTCGTGCTAACATTGATAGCGTAGAAATTTGTTCTGCAGAAGAATCATTGTAAGACAATATAAAATTTATATATTGTGAAAGCATCCTTCAAAATCAAGCTAATTGCAGTTGATGGTTCTTCATCAATTTCAGAAGTTGCAAAGGCAGTAGAATAAAACATTTAAGTGCTGTGACATTTTCCAATGTGATACAGTATGAATGATTCTCCTCTAAATTAGTTGATGATAAAGTGTCTTTAAATATTAATCAAGTTTGTTTATTCCAGTGACATATGTAAATTTTCTTCTTACTGTAAATATCTGCATTTATTCAACATGTACACTGCAGAAATGTTTATTTCACATGATTCTATGACAATTACCATTCACAAAATTTTTCTCATGAAAAGTAAACACAATATGTTAATAAAAATGCCTTTCTTATTAACAAACTTGGCCTTAAATAATGATAAGTTTGTTTAAATCTAATCTTCCCAAATAATTTATAAATAAATGTTAGTATGAATCCCATGTATACTGTATGTGAATATTTGAAAATAACTTATAAATAAATATGAATTTAAAAATACCAATAATAAATTGAAAATTATAATTTTCTATTAAAAAAATACATTGATACCACAGAGATCAAAATCTCATGATTATGAAAATGGCACAACCCCACCAAGCCACCAGCCACTCTACAAATGACAGAAATTCTAATGTTTTAAGTAATTTTGCAATTTTCAACCTCCATTTTTTCCTTTAATTTCAAGTATTGTGCCTTACTGCTTGGCACATGTCAGTCAATATGGGGATGCACTATAACCTCACTGAGTTTCATCAAAATTGATGACCCCAACATCATACTGTTCCCTCGTAAGTCTGTCAGAATTCCTACCATGAAGCTCCTGGACACAGGACTAATTGATCCATGTCAATTTTATATAGGTTTAATGATGTATTGTTTTTGTCTGCAAAAATTACCACTTTATGTAATTGTGATCTTATTGTTTTTACATATATTCTGTCTAAAAAAAACTTTAAAAAAATGATTTTGTAAAGTTTTTGTTAGACAGAATTGAGATTGATTAATCACTCTTCAAAAGAGTGATTGATCAATCTCAATGACAATTAAGATATGCAGATTGATAATTATNAAAAAAAAAAAAAAAATGATTAAAAAGAGTAAATAAATTTGATATTAAATATTCTGTACTGAAGTTTCATTTACATTATTACTGAATGTTTAATAATTATTTCTCAAACATTTAACAATATTTTAATATTCTAAAATTTATATTATTTTTTAACTTACTTTTAAAAGCTTATAATCATTTAGCAGTTGTGAATGTTTTGATTGTAATTCATTCTAAAAATAAAAAAATAATTCTCTCAGTTTTCTCCTATTTATATCAAATTACAAAAATAATCATAAATTTATTTTATTTTCAAATATGATTTACTATATAATTACCAAAAACAATTCTATTACAAATTCGTAAATTATTTTAAATTATAAATATTAAAAATTATCATAAATTTGAAATATTAAAAATTCTATTACAGTATATGAACACTTAAATTAACAAATGATTAAAAGATGTACAATACTTCTGTACATTATAAATGTAAATAATACTTAGATATTTTTTTCAATAACTGAGCATAGTTATATTGCAACTATAATTGAATGGATAGTTATCCATATTTTAAAGCTGATTTGAAAGTAGATGTTGGTTACATCACAGCCAACAACAACAGGCCCACCATTGGACTTTTAATGGAGTCACTTGGGACCAGTTTAGCTGAAGCGCCTTCATGTGACAGTTTTCAGAACACATGTCTACTACACGGTAGTGTGCTTTTGCTTGTGCCTTCGTTTTGATCACATAGTTAATTTTATGATTATTTTGTTGGTGTTTTATGTAACTAAGTTTATCTGTTTTTTGATCGTTGTTGCTATTCCAAGCTTCACTTTTTTTTTTAAGTATTGATTTTATTTGTTGAACTTAATGCCTTTTGAATTTATACATTATAAGTCTAACCAGTGGATTTAGACCTAATGGTGTTTTGTCTAGTTTAAAATGACTAAAAAGTGTTGTGTACTTAAAAGCAAAAGAAATTATGAATTTACATTAACTGGTAACTTAAGTGTTTTTAAATTTCTTATAGATCCTGTATTACATCAGCATTGGATATGAAATATTCCAAGGCATAAATGGACTCCAACTGATTTTAGCATCGTTTGTGAATGGCATTTTTTATCTTCTGATATCTTGAGGTAGGATGTGTTTAAGAACTCCAATGGAAGTATAATGTAACTTGAAAGGGAGATTCCAAAGTTAAGGGAAAATGCAATTCCAATTATATTTCCCAAACTGCCAGATTATTTTAACAAATTCCAGCAAAGCAGAAAAAAATCTGCAGAACAGCACAGAGACGAGCAGTGATTGAGACTTGAGCAGTAGTATGCTGATTTTGTGGATAACAAAGACATCATTCACAGTTTTTCTGAGCTTCATTCAAAGGTTAATGAGAAGCAAAAAGGTGTGATTTGTAACTGGCATGTTACAGAAGAGAACCAAATGCTCATTTTCTACCAAATTAGATTTATAGAAGACAGACAACCATTTCTGTAAGTATATCTATTAATACTGATCTTCATGTTACTATATTTGTTGCTGAACAGTGTGTAGAAAGAAAAGAATTAAATGGATTCTGGATAATGGATACTCTGTGAAAAGATAGTCACAACTTAAAAACTTATTTAACCATTACAAAAACTTGACTCTCTCTATTTTGCACAAACCAGCTCCAGTTTTACTTAACAGTGCTTGCAAAGTGCTTGATAAGATAACATCTCAGTGTGATGACCTACAGTTGGGAATTATAAAGTTTATCATCAAACAACTTAATCTTCTTAATGTTCTAGCTAATCAAATAAGATAGAGCAGTGAGATTACAAAACTTGCATTTTTATTATACATTCAATCTGCAGCTTGTAACAGGCCACTGAGAAATTCCAACATTGTTCTGCTACCACATGTCAACACTTTAAAAAAACTGTTGTCTGCATTAACTGTTTGACAAAACGAGCATGGAAAGTATCTAAAAGTATTGGCTATGTCATTAACAGAGAGAGAATGATATATATCTGTACATGACAAGATACATGTGATTGATAACATGGAATACAAGGGGAGATACTTAAGTAGTGTAGCAGAAAACTGTTCAGATGTCTTAGCAACAACAGTCCAGTCATATATAATAGTATCCCTTCCTACTTGGTCATTTGAAGATGGTGGTAGCCTTATTACCTATGAAGAATCCTGATATAGTGTGTGTTGCTAACCAATGGTATGCTGTTGTTATACTTGTACAGGACTGTGGTTTCACAATGGTGGCAGCAATCAACTGAATAGAAAAATGTTCAAGTTGTTAGGTGATTGATTTAAATATGATTGGAGCATATCTGATATTGAATATAAATGAAATGCTGGAATTAGTTCAAATCCCCAGAAACTTACCAAATCATTTTCTACTATATGGCACTGTACTGTACATCTTTTAAAATGTATTAGAAACAATTGGGTTAATCAAAAAAACAACACTCAGACATTCATATATCTTTCACTCTCAAATATTCAGCTTTCAAGAATTGAATGTAGTATGTCACAAGAATTGACTGCAACTACCCATAAGAATGACAGACATGCTTCAGATGACTGTGCATCAACATCTACAATTCTATGCACGGAAAGCTAGAACTTCTGTAAATAAATAATGTAAAATCTTTGACACTTTTTCTAACAATTTTCTTTAATCAAACTAATGTTTTCTGCTATATTTAATGTATTATTATTAGATTAAATATAGCCAAAAACGTTAGTTTGATTAAAGAAAATTGCTAGAAAAAGTGTTGAAGGTTTTATATTACTTATCAACATCTACATTCAGTACTAGTAACACATGTTTACAAGGACATTTAGTCCATACATATTGTTGCATCTTCTCCTGCAAGCATCAGTGAAATGGAAGAAGCTTCCTTAAGTTTTCTAAAAGAGCTTTATTGGTTTGAGAAGAATAACATCTTGAAATATGCGACAGTTTTAAATTACAAAGCTCTTTACCCACCAACATTTGACAGACAGAAAGTATCACTAGCTCTGAAGATATTCAATGAAAAAATAATAGCTGGAATTCATCAACATCTAACATATATCAAGGGAGAAACAACAGCAAACTGCCAAATTCCTGCAGCTGATTTTAAACTGGTGGTGCATCATGAATGTAAATCAGCTGTTGAAAGGTATACATCCACAAAATCCGTTGTCAACCATTTACAGACATGAATGATGCAAGATTTAATCATATACAGGAATTTAGTGTTTGGTTACAATAGTAGGAATCAACTCATAAAAGTTACAATAATCAATGTCTTTATAGTGAAAACAATGCTGCCCTAATTCAGACAAACATAACAATCTGTGCTTTGATAAAATAACTTCTTGTCCCCAGTCCAGGTTCTTTTGTCTTGACAGTTAAGATTCAAAGTGACAGTATTGAGACAAGATTTGGATTGTATAGGCAGCTTTCAGACTCAAACTACAAAGTATCAGTGCACAGATCCTGGAATCTGAGAAAAATTATGCATTTTGACAGTGTTGGATCTTCATTCTAGTAAATTTGGTTAGTAAAGTTATGTGATTTATTTGATAATATGAAAGAACAACCATTGAAATTTTTGCAGCTTAACCTAAGAATTTCAGGATATTCTAATTGAACCTGAAGTGTTCATAAGCTTTTCAGACCAATGTATCATAGTTTTTATTTCTAGATATGTTGCAAAGAAGGTGAGTGCTACACTTGATTATGGTACATGTAAAATAATGTTGATAGTTGACAGGAACCTAAATATAGAATTTCCTCAATTTGCCAATGCACAGTACAGTCCCTTGCTTAATCGAGGTGACCTGAAATATCCCTCTTTACAGTAAACTGAATTTGTGATTAAATGTTATTCAATGTTTAGTACATTAATACTTCTAAGTATGGGGAAATATTTTTGAAGAACAGCAACCAGAAGTCATTATCAAATGCAATACTCAGACATAAAAAAGTGGTTGTTTTAAATGCAAAACTACAAAAACTTGTTATAAATGATGGTGTATGTCTGTGTGGTGTAAGGAATGCTGATTTATTTTGTAAGGCTATTCCTATTCTAAGCAATATTTTCATTGATAACTATATGAAAATTTGCAACGAGACTCTGAGAACCAAGCATTTTAATAAGCAAAAATTGGATACACTGCATTAAAATAAATCATTTGGATTTTACATTGAGAATTTGTATTCTATGAAGTAAGTTATGATGAGAAACTTTTTTCCATATTTTATTTATATGTAAGTCATATATAATATGTTTAATTGTAATAATTAAAATTTATGGTGTAACTAATCCACTGTTTTGAACCTAGTGCAGTANATGATTACAATTAATGAATTATTATTGACAATTAATTACTTACAATTAATGAATTACTTACATCAAATTGATTCATTTTCCATGTTAACTGAGAATTCTCATGATATAATTGTTCCTTCTCTGATGATACCTTCTTTAAATGATCTGTAATAAAATTTATATAATCATAAATAAAAAAATCATAAAAAAGTTAAAAAAGTTTGATAATTTTATGAAAATACAATAAATGAAGTTGCTATATTTAAACTCATCACATTAATTATTTAATTACTTTTATCTATAATTTTAAAATTTAATCTCTTCACAAACATTTTCTTAACTGTACTGAAAAAATACATAGTAAATCCCCACCAGTTTGGACTTTGCATAATTCCAACAAATTTTTTCAGAAAATTGTACAGTAATTTAGATTCTTTTGATAATAGAAAAATTATAATTAATGCGTGTTTCTGATATCCAGAAATCTTTGCAATACCATGTACTAGGTTACTGTAGTCGGTAAGTTACTAAAGACTGTACACTTCTGTTCACTGTATTATTGTGAAATTTTTTGAGCTCATTTCCGTAATAATAAGCAGTATAACCTCAAATCAGTAAAAAAAAAGTCAATAAAAAAACAAAAAGTTTTCACTTTACCATGAAGTTTGTTAACTTCATCTGTTTTCTGACGTAATGTTTCTAAATGATTTGAAACTTCAAAATTTAAATTTTTCTTTTCTTCTTCTATTATAGAATAATCTTGTTTTATTTCTGATAATTTATTTTCTACTTGAGTATTTTTTTCCTAAAAAAAAAAAAAAAAATGATTAAAAAGAGTAAATAAATTTGATATTAAATATTCTGTACTGAAGTTTCATTTACATTATTACTGAATGTTTAATAATTATTTCTCAAACATTTAACAATATTTTAATATTCTAAAATTTATATTATTTTTTAACTTACTTTTAAAAGCTTATAATCATTTAGCAGTTGTGAATGTTTCGATTGTAATTCATTCTAAAAATAAAAAAATAATTTTCTCAGTTTTCTCCTATTTATATCAAATTACAAAAATAATCATAAATTTATTTTATTTTCAAATATGATTTACTATATAATTACCAAAAACAATTCTATTACAAATTCGTAAATTATTTTAAATTATAAATATTAAAAATTATCATAAATTTGAAATATTAAAAATTCTATTACAGTATATGAACACTTAAATTAACAAATGATTAAAAGATGTACAATACTTCTGTACATTATAAATGTAAATAATACTTAGATATTTTTTTCAATAACTGAGCATAGTTATATTGCAACTATAATTGAATGGATAGTTATCCATATTTTAAAGCTGATTTGAAAGTAGATGTTGGTTACATCACAGCCAACAACAACAGGCCCACCATTGGACTTTTAATGGAGTCACTTGGGACCAGTTTAGCTGAAGCGCCTTCATGTGACAGTTTTCAGAACACATGTCTACTACACGGTAGTGTGCTTTTGCTTGTGCCTTCGTTTTGATCACATAGTTAATTTTATGATTATTTTGTTGGTGTTTTATGTAACTAAGTTTATCTGTTTTTTGATCGTTGTTGCTATTCCAAGCTTCACTTTTTTTTTTAAGTATTGATTTTATTTGTTGAACTTAATGCCTTTTGAATTTATACATTATAAGTCTAACCAGTGGATTTAGACCTAATGGTGTTTTGTCTAGTTTAAAATGACTAAAAAGTGTTGTGTACTTAAAAGCAAAAGAAATTATGAATTTACATTAACTGGTAACTTAAGTGTTTTTAAATTTCTTATAGATCCTGTATTACATCAGCATTGGATATGAAATATTCCAAGGCATAAATGGACTCCAACTGATTTTAGCATCGTTTGTGAATGGCATTTTTTATCTTCTGATATCTTGAGGTAGGATGTGTTTAAGAACTCCAATGGAAGTATAATGTAACTTGAAAGGGAGATTCCAAAGTTAAGGGAAAATGCAATTCCAATTATATTTCCCAAACTGCCAGATTATTTTAACAAATTCCAGCAAAGCAGAAAAAAATCTGCAGAACAGCACAGAGACGAGCAGTGATTGAGACTTGAGCAGTAGTATGCTGATTTTGTGGATAACAAAGACATCATTCACAGTTTTTCTGAGCTTCATTCAAAGGTTAATGAGAAGCAAAAAGGTGTGATTTGTAACTGGCATGTTACAGAAGAGAACCAAATGCTCATTTTCTACCAAATTAGATTTATAGAAGACAGACAACCATTTCTGTAAGTATATCTATTAATACTGATCTTCATGTTACTATATTTGTTGCTGAACAGTGTGTAGAAAGAAAAGAATTAAATGGATTCTGGATAATGGATACTCTGTGAAAAGATAGTCACAACTTAAAAACTTATTTAACCATTACAAAAACTTGACTCTCTCTATTTTGCACAAACCAGCTCCAGTTTTACTTAACAGTGCTTGCAAAGTGCTTGATAAGATAACATCTCAGTGTGATGACCTACAGTTGGGAATTATAAAGTTTATCATCAAACAACTTAATCTTCTTAATGTTCTAGCTAATCAAATAAGATAGAGCAGTGAGATTACAAAACTTGCATTTTTATTATACATTCAATCTGCAGCTTGTAACAGGCCACTGAGAAATTCCAACATTGTTCTGCTACCACATGTCAACACTTTAAAAAAACTGTTGTCTGCATTAACTGTTTGACAAAACGAGCATGGAAAGTATCTAAAAGTATTGGCTATGTCATTAACAGAGAGAGAATGATATATATCTGTACATGACAAGATACATGTGATTGATAACATGGAATACAAGGGGAGATACTTAAGTAGTGTAGCAGAAAACTGTTCAGATGTCTTAGCAACAACAGTCCAGTCATATATAATAGTATCCCTTCCTACTTGGTCATTTGAAGATGGTGGTAGCCTTATTACCTATGAAGAATCCTGATATAGTGTGTGTTGCTAACCAATGGTATGCTGTTGTTATACTTGTACAGGACTGTGGTTTCACAATGGTGGCAGCAATCAACTGAATAGAAAAATGTTCAAGTTGTTAGGTGATTGATTTAAATATGATTGGAGCATATCTGATATTGAATATAAATGAAATGCTGGAATTAGTTCAAATCCCCAGAAACTTACCAAATCATTTTCTACTATATGGCACTGTACTGTACATCTTTTAAAATGTATTAGAAACAATTGGGTTAATCAAAAAAACAACACTCAGACATTCATATATCTTTCACTCTCAAATATTCAGCTTTCAAGAATTGAATGTAGTATGTCACAAGAATTGACTGCAACTACCCATAAGAATGACAGACATGCTTCAGATGACTGTGCATCAACATCTACAATTCTATGCACGGAAAGCTAGAACTTCTGTAAATAAATAATGTAAAATCTTTGACACTTTTTCTAACAATTTTCTTTAATCAAACTAATGTTTTCTGCTATATTTAATGTATTATTATTAGATTAAATATAGCCAAAAACGTTAGTTTGATTAAAGAAAATTGCTAGAAAAAGTGTTGAAGGTTTTATATTACTTATCAACATCTACATTCAGTACTAGTAACACATGTTTACAAGGACATTTAGTCCATACATATTGTTGCATCTTCTCCTGCAAGCATCAGTGAAATGGAAGAAGCTTCCTTAAGTTTTCTAAAAGAGCTTTATTGGTTTGAGAAGAATAACATCTTGAAATATGCGACAGTTTTAAATTACAAAGCTCTTTACCCACCAACATTTGACAGACAGAAAGTATCACTAGCTCTGAAGATATTCAATGAAAAAATAATAGCTGGAATTCATCAACATCTAACATATATCAAGGGAGAAACAACAGCAAACTGCCAAATTCCTGCAGCTGATTTTAAACTGGTGGTGCATCATGAATGTAAATCAGCTGTTGAAAGGTATACATCCACAAAATCCGTTGTCAACCATTTACAGACATGAATGATGCAAGATTTAATCATATACAGGAATTTAGTGTTTGGTTACAATAGTAGGAATCAACTCATAAAAGTTACAATAATCAATGTCTTTATAGTGAAAACAATGCTGCCCTAATTCAGACAAACATAACAATCTGTGCTTTGATAAAATAACTTCTTGTCCCCAGTCCAGGTTCTTTTGTCTTGACAGTTAAGATTCAAAGTGACAGTATTGAGACAAGATTTGGATTGTATAGGCAGCTTTCAGACTCAAACTACAAAGTATCAGTGCACAGATCCTGGAATCTGAGAAAAATTATGCATTTTGACAGTGTTGGATCTTCATTCTAGTAAATTTGGTTAGTAAAGTTATGTGATTTATTTGATAATATGAAAGAACAACCATTGAAATTTTTGCAGCTTAACCTAAGAATTTCAGGATATTCTAATTGAACCTGAAGTGTTCATAAGCTTTTCAGACCAATGTATCATAGTTTTTATTTCTAGATATGTTGCAAAGAAGGTGAGTGCTACACTTGATTATGGTACATGTAAAATAATGTTGATAGTTGACAGGAACCTAAATATAGAATTTCCTCAATTTGCCAATGCACAGTACAGTCCCTTGCTTAATCGAGGTGACCTGAAATATCCCTCTTTACAGTAAACTGAATTTGTGATTAAATGTTATTCAATGTTTAGTACATTAATACTTCTAAGTATGGGGAAATATTTTTGAAGAACAGCAACCAGAAGTCATTATCAAATGCAATACTCAGACATAAAAAAGTGGTTGTTTTAAATGCAAAACTACAAAAACTTGTTATAAATGATGGTGTATGTCTGTGTGGTGTAAGGAATGCTGATTTATTTTGTAAGGCTATTCCTATTCTAAGCAATATTTTCATTGATAACTATATGAAAATTTGCAACGAGACTCTGAGAACCAAGCATTTTAATAAGCAAAAATTGGATACACTGCATTAAAATAAATCATTTGGATTTTACATTGAGAATTTGTATTCTATGAAGTAAGTTATGATGAGAAACTTTTTTCCATATTTTATTTATATGTAAGTCATATATAATATGTTTAATTGTAATAATTAAAATTTATGGTGTAACTAATCCACTGTTTTGAACCTAGTGCAGTAGAAATAAAGATTTAAAATAATGAAGTAAAATAATAATAATAATAATAGTAAATATTTTTTGTTTTAGGTCTTAATACGAGTATATTATTCTATTATTACAAATCATTGCTTATAGCTACTTTGTTTTTGTATGACAAATTACTGAATGACTGAATTCCAATTATTTGTATTATGCTTATTCAAGTTATTTATGGCTTATTAATGATAATAATAATAATAATATTAATTAAATAATACCAAAGTAGGTTAAATGCTATCCTCAGAACACAGTTAAATGCAACACACAGTTAAAGTAATAAACACATATGTCATCCCAGTACTCACATACTCTTTTGGAGTTATACATTGGACTCACACAGATCTCAAGCAACTCCAAAGGAAAACAAGAACAACACTTACTAAGCATAAACATCATCATCCTAAATCCGTCACAGAAAGATTAACCCTTCCATGTAAAGATGGCAGACGTGGCCTGATTGACATAGTTAACCTTCACTACAAACAAATACAGTCACTGCGAGAGTTTTTCTACAAGGAAACAAGAAACATCACAATTACACAAAGCAGTAACTCTAGCAGACTCAAATAACACACCATTAAACTTACACTCACATCATACAGACTTGACACAACATATAAAAAGCATAGACACCATTAATTAAGCAATTGTGGGCTCGAAAGGCACTCCATGGCAGGCATCCTTATGACCTGGCCCAGGATTTTGTTGATAAAACTGCATCAAACAGCTGGTTAGATCAGGGATGCCTCTTTGGGGAGACAGAAGGATTCATGATTGCCATACAGGATCAGGTCATAAATACTAAAAACTACAGAAAACACATACTCAAAGATACAACACTCACAAATGACACATGCAGAAAATGTCACATCATGCCAGAAACTATACAACACATCACTTCTGGTTGCAAGCTCTTGGCACAGACAGATTACTTACATAGACACAATCAAGTAGCAAATATAATACACCAAGAGCTTGCAAAGAAACACAAATTGGCAGACATCCACGAACCATACTACAAGTATATTCCACAGACAGTATTGGAAAATAACACGCACAAAATGTATTACGACAGAGCCATAATCACAGATAAAACAATTTACCACAACAGACCAGACATCACACTCATTGACAAACACAATAAAATCACATACATTATAGACATAGCCATTCCAAACACTCACAATGTACAAAACACATGCACTGAAAAAATTAGCAAGTACACAGAACTTGCCCAGGAAATAAGGCATCTATGGAGGATGGATAGGGTAGTTATTGTACCTGTTGTTCTTTCCTGTACAGGTGTGATACCACACACACTACACAAAAGCCTGGGAACATTAGAATTGAGTAGAAATACATACATAACACTACAGAAGGCCACTATATTGAATACATGCCACATTGTTAGGAAATTCCTGAATACAGACACTGACACACTTATTTAATTTTAGTTTTGTTTTGGTTACTATGCCTTGACTCTGGTCTGGCATAGTACACAGCCACCAGTGTGAACCGAGTAACCCACTAAACCCAACAAAATAATAATAATTAATGTTTAATGATTAAGAATTAGTTCAATTTAATTATATTTTTGTTAAAATTAAATGAAATAAACTAAATTATGTGTAAAAAAATAGCTGGAAACTTTAAAGATATTTGTAAATACTGTTTACTTAAGTAGGAAGCATAGGCCACCAATGTCAACCATCTTGCAAAATGGCAGTGTTCATGGTTAGGCCTGTTGTCATAGTTGGATGTGGTTACGTTCTACTGTGCAGTTGCAATTACTAGCTCATTCAACAACTTTTCCTTCATTTAAATTTGCTAATAGCATCTTTAAAAATTATGAAAATCCTTTATACACAAATCTTAATCTGCCATGTCAATTTTTCTGAAAATTACCACATATCTAAGTGTGCCTCATCTCTTCTGTTTTTATACATCAATCCTCATTTTAGTCAATATCATTAAACACCTCTACTTAAACTTTTATCTTGAAACCTAATTATTTCCAACAATGACTCTCCAATCTATTTAGACAGGTCTAAATAGATGTTACTCTCAGATTTATTTACATGTCTGTCAAGTTTAGCATATGTTAATTCTCTATAGTGAACAATAACTAAGTGATTGGTTCAAACTTCTATTACTTGATATTGTAAAATTTATGTGAACTTTTTTAGTAGTGTCAACAAAGTCATTTGTAAAAATTACTTTACTTACTCTAAATCTAGTATGGTAATCATTCTCCCTAAAGTCAGACGAGTCATGTTGTTATTCCAAACTCATCTCAACCTCAAATAATTTTTCAAACATAAAATATACTACAGATATTATCCACATTAAAATATTTTTCTATTCAATTTTTTATGAGTTTATTTTATCATTTATTATTTTATATTTATAAGCTGTCTAACAAATAGGGAACTTTTAAAATTGTTTTCAATGATTGGTTAGTCAATCTTGTTGACAATTAAGAAATGCAACTTGATAATTAAAAAATCAGTATGCTATAAAGACTTGCTTTTTTTCTATCATTATGAAATGAATTCTGATGACTAAAATAATTATATATGCTTAAAATGTGAATGTGTAATGTTTCATCTTATTTATACACAACAGCACTACTTTCAGCCATCTTGTTTATGAAACAAAAACCAATTATTACATCATTACCATTTTGATTTAGTTTCTTTCTTTTTAAAAGTTCTACAAAGAAATTTATTTTATATTAATTTCAATAAAATTCACATTCAATTTAAAATATATAATTTATTTTAGTAAAAATTTGAAGACAATAGTAAAATAAATTTTTATGTAACATTTTCTAAATAGAAATTAGATGAACAAAACAAATTCCAGAATCTTATTGAATAGTCTGATCGTTACAATTTATCAATTTTCAACATATAAGGAATCCACCACAGACATAATATTAGTTATAAATATTTTCAATACCTAATCAGTTTAAACAATTCTGTCTCAAATATTTAAATTATATTTGTCAGAAATATGTTTATGTTCCATTCATTTCAAACAAAAACATCATTCTATTGCCATTTTATTCCAAATAAAATCAATAAAAAAACAACTAAAACATTCAAAAGTTAAAAATATTATTGCCTTTTAAGGTTTCTATCACAGTATGGTTATCTACCTCAAATATTCTGTTTTTTCCCACTTCATTTATTTTATAATTACATCTACAATTAAAACCTTTTATTCAGTATCAGAACTTCAACGAATTTTCGTTGAAGTTCTGATACTGAATAAAAGATCCTGTAATAGAACTTCAACGAATTTTCGTTGAAGTTCTATTACAGGATAAAAGGTTTTGTGTATATTTAATTAATTACTCCAGCAATTTGTGAAGAACATAGTTACAATACAGCTACAATAAACTTCTAATAGATAAAGATGGGAATAAAATGATGGAATGTCTACAATGATGCTTTCTAAACTGCATCTGGCAACTTAAGAAGTGAAGGGTATAAAGCAGTGCAGGCAATGTGGCATTTTTATTTCCGTTTTAACAAGTTTTTGCACATTATATGCCTTTGCAAGCCATATGCAAGAAATTCTGATATATTGTTAAAATATTTCACTCAAAAATTTAGAAATGGAATAAATTTTGAAAATAAATATCTAACCATATTGACTATTTAGACTATTCTTCATGATAACTTCATGTTATAATGTGAAGTTCACTAATACTAAAACAAGTTTTAAGGAGCCCAATAGATCATTTTTTTATTTTGAAATTAAATGATTTTTGGAATAATATCACATATAATCAGAATCTGATGGGAGATAGTATTCCAAAAAGCATTTAATTCCGAAATATAAAAATGATCTGTCTATTCCTTAAAAATTAGTTTTAGAATTACTTGTGTGTTTGTAAGTATCTATAAATTAAAACTGAAATATAAATTATTTCATATTTTGACTAGAAATAAAACAAATATTTTTTCACAAATTATTATTATTTAAGAGAAAGCTTTCAAACCATATTCTAGTCTTGATTATTTCAAAACAATATTCTGAATAATTTATTATATATCTTTATTTCTTACTTCACTTTCAAGTTCTTCACTTGTAAAAACTTTTAATTTCTTGTATTTTTTCAAAATATTTCTTTTATAACCAACTTATTTATGTTTTAGGATATAAAAAGATCTTAGAAGTTTCAGTTTTAAAGTACTGATCTACATAATTACATAGTGAAGGTTTTATAAGTATTACGATTAAGAGTAATAACTAAAAAATAATAAAAGTAAAATGTTACAAAGGAAGATCATATAAAATCTAGTGACACAGTTCCTATTATAAAAATTTTAGTGGTTCTGAGAATATACATAAGATTCAGGCAAACTTAAAAAAAAATTATTTTAAAAAGATTATAAATCAACTATTTACCAATTCTTTTTCTAACTGTGACTGAATTGCCTGAGTCTCTAAATTCCTCTTTTCCATTCCTAAACAAAGAAAATACAATATTTCAATTTCTTCAAAAGCAGTTGAAACATATTTATATTCTGTTACAATAAAATTTATAAAAGATTATTCTATTTAATTTATATTAAATGTCAATCATATACTTATTTACATACGATATAAAAATAATACATTGAAATATACTGATAAAACTAGTTATTTGTATATTTTTTCCTAGATTTATGTTTGATGGTTGACACATTAAATAATAAAATCAATTCAAAATTTTCTTAAAATAATAATTAGAAACTAGAAGTAATTTTTATGAAAAATTTTCTAAGATGCTAACAATATTTTTCATGTATGCTCTTTCATTTCATAAAGATAGAGCCAGCAAGGGCACTTGTTCAAAAAGTAATATTTAAGTTTAAAAATGGATTATTACAGGGAGAAACAGTAAAAAAATTGGCTCAAAATTAAAATGATCATATTTCCACATATATAAGAGCATGCTGTTATGTTTGAGTATAAGCGTATATTCTCATATCCAAGCACATTATATATATATATATATGCTCTTATATATCAAAGTGTGAGAGTATGCTTTTATACATGGGGCAAAATTGGCACTATATTGTGCAAAGAAAACTTCACTGTAAAAATAACTTTCATAGTATCAGAAGTCTATTATTTTTAATAATGGTTACCACAGAAATGTCATTGAGTAGTTACGTATAAATACACTTATGTTTAATTTACATTGGCACAACAGTATAAGCCAAAACAAGCTAGTGCAGAGTATGCTCTTAGATGCAAAGTATATTTTTATAAAGTAGGATGTGTGTTTAAAAAAATGCAAAAACAAATGATTTTCACTTATAAGAACATGCTGTTATATGTACAAAAATATGGTATGTGTGATGCTATATTTCTGGTATGAGATTTTATTTTAAAAAGTTTTTTTAATAAAAAAAAAAGCCTTATTTTTAGAAGTAGGAGTGAGTTTTTAAAAAATTTATAAATGCCAATAGCAAGTGAAATTTTTACTAAGTCTGACCCCACTTGAGATACCCTCTCTATCTTCCCCTTGACTCACAATCTCCAACATGTAATAGAATCAATGTTCAGAATAGAAGCATTCTTGCCAAATCTGAAAATTTTTGGTCCATGCAGTCCTGAGATATAAAGCAAAAGACAGGTAAACACACATACATACATACAGAATGTTGTTCCTGTTATCTTGATGTTTTTGAAATCAGGAGACCTTAAAACATTCAGAAATTTAAAAAACCCAGAAGGTTAAAATTTGGCCATTAACTATACTTTTTCTCTGTTCTATAACAGCAGGGAAAGTAAAAATAATCAATCATATATGAGAAAAATAGCTCTATATATCTGTAAATTTATCTCCAATTTTAATATTTAGCATATAAAAATAATCTGAATAAAGAATTTTTGATAACAATTACCCTGTTTGGTCTTTTGATGCTCCGAGCGTTCTTGTTGTAATAATGTTTCCAGTTCTTTCTTACGTTCATAAAGAACTTAAATTAAAACAAGTATAAATAAATAATTAAATATCTGAAATAAATTAAAAATTACTTTAATTTGAATCACTTACAATTTAACATAATTATCATCCTGTAGAATTATTTTCAATTACTTTTCATTATATTAACAGAATAATTTATTGTTTTTAAATATATTAATACTACAAATAATCCTTGAAACAAAATTACTTCTATTCAAATATATAAAGTAAAAACTATACATGCTTAGTATATTCAGTATCAAATCTATTAATATACACAAAATTTAACAGTCTGTATACTGCATAGTTATATTTAGTAATATAACTATGCAGTGGTGACAATATATTTATAGTGACAATATATTATATTTATGGTGACAATTCTACTGAATTTGTAATAGCTATCTCTCTTTCTTTAATGTATCTAATGATAGATTCATTTACAAAAGCACCAGCAACCATAGCTGCTGGTTTCTCTTCCTGCAAATGCTTTATCACTTTTAATTTTACTTTCTTTGATCTTTTCACAATTTTTATCATTAGAATTTGTTTAGATGACACTGTAGGTTTGTAAGGATAAAAACCAAATGGAAAGCTCTATTCATAAAGCACAATGTTTACTATTCACTTAAGTGCATGTGCTATAAGGCCAGAAACTACAAAATACTGACAACTGAAATTGCAAACTGCAGTAAAGTATGTTCAAGAAAAAACATTAAAAATCATTCACTTGTTTTTCTAGTAATTGTCTCATTATTTTTTTATTAATTCTTCTGCAAATAAGCAAATATAGAAAATGGTTTCAAATAGTGAATAGTGATTTAAATGTGAAAAATGCACAGATATGGAGATTCTACTGCATTAATAAAACTATCAATTACCATTCAATAATAACATAACTTTATTATATAATTAAAAATTCATACCTTGTAACTGAGCAGAAACTGAATCTTTTTCTCTTTCACATCTATCTTTTTCTTTCTGGCAAACATTATGATAATTTTCTACTTCTTTTAAATGCACATGTGAGTTATGAATTAGCAACACCATCAAACATGCTACTCCCAATATTAATATATACAGTATTATTCGGAATTTTGGACTTCGCATTACCAAGCCAGCATTCATTGTTTTGTTTATGTCTAAATACAATTAAATCGGGAAAACAGAATGATAAATATTTCTTAGATAATATTTTTAATTACATAACAAAACAAAAACTTAAAATTAATTGTTTCAAATTTCCAATGAAATTTGATACTATTTTAAAAAATCACCTAATTTAATACAAATGTCTAAATTTCTGTATTATTTTATGGCAGATCTGTTATAGACAGACTTTATGATAATAGATAATGTACAGTATAGGTTGGCCATGATTAAAGTTTTCCTAATTATAGCACTCTGTAGCTGTAACTAATGTATGTATTGACACCAAAATTTGCAAAAATGTGGAAAAGGATTTTGCAGGAAAAACAAAAATTTAGTTCTAAAACCTCTGTTAGGAGATGTTTACAGGAAAATACATGAAACAAAACACATTAATAAATTTGTTATTTTAAATGTTGTAAATAGAGTAAGTAAAATCAAGGACATTTATGAAATGGAAACAAAAAATAAGCTGTAGAACACAGTTCATTGCCTTCAAATTTTACAACTGAACAATGAGGCACATATTGAACAACATTCCTCATATCACTAAACAGTTTCTGCAGAAGGAATGCCACTTGCAGAATGAATAAATGCATTTTGTTGTTTTGTTTTGTATATTTTCCTGTAAACATCTCCTAGTGAAAGTTTTTGAACTTAATTTTTTTGTGTAAAATTCTTTACATCATTTGCATAGTCTGTATACAAATTTTGATGTCAATTTGCTTATTGCTCTGAATAGGAAAACTAATTATGACTCTGTAGATATTTGTGTACACATACAAATAATATCTAAGCTTAAAAACTTTATCATGCACTACTAAGTATTATGTCTAATTAAAAAAAAATGCCTCTGTCATGTTTAGGCTGTTCTGAATCACATACATCACATACACCCAATTCTTTTTTAATGGATTTCTTTTAGACAATTTTATATATTTCTTTTAATTTTTAATTACAAGCAGCACTGTCAAATGGCTATCTGGCCTCACCCAAAATTTTGAAATAACACACTCCAGAAAAAATTCAATTCTCTTTTTACACAATTTGTTTTGCAGCATTGAAAGCATTCACAGAGAAATAAACTATTCCTTAACACCTTTTTATGCGAGTTTTTCTACTTGTGTATATATAATTGTCGATGTGACTTCTACCCTACTATTTACATTGTTTTGATCTAATATAGTTTTATGAATTTGCCTTTTTAAAAATCTTCCTTTGATTTTAATTCTAAGAAAAATATTCATAATTTCTTTTTTAAAAAAATTCTTAAAATTTCTGCATTCCACCAAGAAATTGAATTTGGCTCTAGGTTTTGTTAAAACTAGTACCAGTCTTCTATAAAAGTTAGCCAGCATAATTATGCTGGCTAACTTTTATAGAAGACTGGTACTAGCCTTAACGAAACCTAGAGCCAAATTCTTAAAATTTGCATCAGTTATAGACATGCTGAAATAAATCTTAAGATTTGACTGTTATTTATTATTATAGTTATTAAGATTTATTATTACAATTAGACTTAATATAGCCCAATAACACAGTAATTTGTTTGGCTTGGCTGTTCTTTCTACAATTTATTTGAATGTGTATAGCAGCAACAACCAACTTTCATTCTGATTTTATTCCACAATTAAAGCAGTCAGATAAAATTTGATTCAAAGTTTGGCAATCTCTACAATTTGTATGATTGCATTGATTCTAATTTCTTTCAATACAAAATAGTTTTGTATGCTGTTTAGTGTCAAAAACGATAAGCATTTTGATGTTTAATTGAAAAACACAAATAAAAAATAAAATTTGATTCATGCAAATAATATAAATTTATTAAATGTTGCCGATAAGTTATAATCATCCTGCCTCTGATTTATTAACTAAAATTGGAACGTTTTGTTTAAACATATTCTATTACATTAATTGGCTTTCCTTATTATTTTTACTTGCTTTTAAGGTCTGGAATCATCAATCTTCCATTTTTCTACAAGGACAGTATAATGTAAAAACAGAATTGGATGTATTTTTTGAAATTATTATGTAAAAATGACTATAATGGTAAATCTTGCAATGAATTTATTATTGCAATATTATATAGAAATAGATTTAAAATTATTCCTGAGTTCAAGAAATAACAAAAACTGATTAACTATAATTTCCTTGTATGAAGTCACTGAAGAGGCTTATAAGATATTAAAGCTAACTGCAATTTTTAATCATATTCTTAATTTATTCATTTTAAAATATATGTTCTCCATCTAAAATTTGTAGTGTCTTGCTCCTGTACATTATACTTTTCCTGATAACAACAAAGTCATGCCAGTCATCTATGTAACTCCAGGGGAAAATATTTGAATTGAAGTCACATGAATTCAATTCAAATACTTTCCTCTATATGGATATAGTTAATCAGGGCCTCCTGCCCCTAAGTTTTCTATATCTGGTCTCAACTTACATCTACTTAACATCATTCTCGAGATTAAGGACAGGCAGACAGACAGACAGGACAGTGAGAATTTATAGTTATATAATTTTTTCAATTGCAACCGAACCACAAAAACTTCTGTAAGACAGGGCCAATCTAACACAATTTGTTTTAAGAACCCTGTCAATTAGAATAAACATTAGTTCTGAAAATCAGTCATCAAATAAATATTGTAGCTAATAACATTTCTTAATTTGCAACCAAGTCGATTTCATTAATTCTCTAGATCATTTAATAACAAAAAATTTTAAGATTTAGATATGTTATGAAATAAACAAGACAGAATGTTCAACTATTTAACATATTCAATTTGAATTTTTCATTTAACTTTGCCTAAGACACAGAAACCAAAAAATATTTCTTCTTCATAATGTATTGCTTATTGCAAAAAATGTTGAGATTTATCAAGCTAGCTTTCATGAGTATAACCAAAAGATAATTTTATGAATATTTATTACAAGTCACTAAAGGTAATGAATGTTATCATTTCAGAGAGAATGTAAATATTGTATTTTTCACAAGATTTAATTTTTTGACTATTGATACAGTAGACTTGCAATCATCCAGTCCTACATACTATCCATTCTGATCAGCTATGTCATAAAGTATTTTTATAGAAACAAAAGGTACAGTATTATTAAATAATAATATTGTTTAAAAATGCAATCACAAACATTTTCATAAAACAGTATTGTTTTATGAAAATGTTATGTTTTATGAAAATGTTCATAAAACAGTATTGTTTTATGAAAATGTTTAATGTAAATTCTGCGAATAATGCAGCATGGTAATTGTAGGCATCTTACCAACTTACTTTTGCTGTAAATTCTGTATTAAAACATTATATGATTACAGTCTGTCGGTATGGACTATGACTTTAATTTAGACATAATTTAATCTACACTTAATAAATCTTATCTTTTGCTCAATAAACTGTCACCTTCCTCATACCAAGAATAGCAATGTTGATCACACATCTTAGCCTCACTTTCCTGATCAGCCACATTCATTATTTTGATGCCATATTATTTTATGAATATCTTAATGGTATTTTAAATTTAAATTATATTTTTATTTATATTCCATCTTTGAACTCATGGAAGAATAAATATAATTCTTAAATCCTTTTTNTTCATTATGAAAATAAAATTTAATTTTTTGACATATTTCCAGGAAGCCACTTCCTTTCATTCAATGGCAAATATTTTATGTTTTTAATAGTTGAATTAAATGTTACCATCAAATTCACAAAATATTCCATGACTGTAAAACTTTTTGATACTTTCCGGTTAGTAGGGCACCAGACAATTGATGCAATCCAACTTGCGTGTATTAGGTTGATAATTAGTTCAGAGAGGATAGGTTTAGGTTTGAGTTAAATCGCATCAATTGACTGGGATCCTGCTAACCAACAAGTACCAATTTTTTATACTCACATACGATGCCAAATATAGTAAAGAAGAAAGCATAATGACTTCCAAAATTAGATTTATGTACTTAACGAATTAAACACATGCAAGTACTTGCAACATTTCAAAATATCTTTCTCAAGCAAAGAAATTATATATAAAATTTTGTTATGTATATACAGTGGTACCTCAGGATACGAATGCCCCAGCATACGAAATTTTCAGGATACGACATGAAATTCGAACATATTTTTGCTCCACAATACGAACAAAAACTCACCATACGATGTTACATTAGTTCGCAGCGCCATTTTTTATTTACTTCTACAGTTANAAAAAAAAAAGCCTTATTTTTAGAAGTAGGAGTGAGTTTTTAAAAAATTTATAAATGCCAATAGCAAGTGAAATTTTTACTAAGTCTGACCCCACTTGAGATACCCTCTCTATCTTCCCCTTGACTCACAATCTCCAACATGTAATAGAATCAATGTTCAGAATAGAAGCATTCTTGCCAAATCTGAAAATTTTTGGTCCATGCAGTCCTGAGATATAAAGCAAAAGACAGGTAAACACACATACATACATACAGAATGTTGTTCCTGTTATCTTGATGTTTTTGAAATCAGGAGACCTTAAAACATTCAGAAATTTAAAAAACCCAGAAGGTTAAAATTTGGCCATTAACTATACTTTTTCTCTGTTCTATAACAGCAGGGAAAGTAAAAATAATCAATCATATATGAGAAAAATAGCTCTATATATCTGTAAATTTATCTCCAATTTTAATATTTAGCATATAAAAATAATCTGAATAAAGAATTTTTGATAACAATTACCCTGTTTGGTCTTTTGATGCTCCGAGCGTTCTTGTTGTAATAATGTTTCCAGTTCTTTCTTACGTTCATAAAGAACTTAAATTAAAACAAGTATAAATAAATAATTAAATATCTGAAATAAATTAAAAATTACTTTAATTTGAATCACTTACAATTTAACATAATTATCATCCTGTAGAATTATTTTCAATTACTTTTCATTATATTAACAGAATAATTTATTGTTTTTAAATATATTAATACTACAAATAATCCTTGAAACAAAATTACTTCTATTCAAATATATAAAGTAAAAACTATACATGCTTAGTATATTCAGTATCAAATCTATTAATATACACAAAATTTAACAGTCTGTATACTGCATAGTTATATTTAGTAATATAACTATGCAGTGGTGACAATATATTTATAGTGACAATATATTATATTTATGGTGACAATTCTACTGAATTTGTAATAGCTATCTCTCTTTCTTTAATGTATCTAATGATAGATTCATTTACAAAAGCACCAGCAACCATAGCTGCTGGTTTCTCTTCCTGCAAATGCTTTATCACTTTTAATTTTACTTTCTTTGATCTTTTCACAATTTTTATCATTAGAATTTGTTTAGATGACACTGTAGGTTTGTAAGGATAAAAACCAAATGGAAAGCTCTATTCATAAAGCACAATGTTTACTATTCACTTAAGTGCATGTGCTATAAGGCCAGAAACTACAAAATACTGACAACTGAAATTGCAAACTGCAGTAAAGTATGTTCAAGAAAAAACATTAAAAATCATTCACTTGTTTTTCTAGTAATTGTCTCATTATTTTTTTATTAATTCTTCTGCAAATAAGCAAATATAGAAAATGGTTTCAAATAGTGAATAGTGATTTAAATGTGAAAAATGCACAGATATGGAGATTCTACTGCATTAATAAAACTATCAATTACCATTCAATAATAACATAACTTTATTATATAATTAAAAATTCATACCTTGTAACTGAGCAGAAACTGAATCTTTTTCTCTTTCACATCTATCTTTTTCTTTCTGGCAAACATTATGATAATTTTCTACTTCTTTTAAATGCACATGTGAGTTATGAATTAGCAACACCATCAAACATGCTACTCCCAATATTAATATATACAGTATTATTCGGAATTTTGGACTTCGCATTACCAAGCCAGCATTCATTGTTTTGTTTATGTCTAAATACAATTAAATCGGGAAAACAGAATGATAAATATTTCTTAGATAATATTTTTAATTACATAACAAAACAAAAACTTAAAATTAATTGTTTCAAATTTCCAATGAAATTTGATACTATTTTAAAAAATCACCTAATTTAATACAAATGTCTAAATTTCTGTATTATTTTATGGCAGATCTGTTATAGACAGACTTTATGATAATAGATAATGTACAGTATAGGTTGGCCATGATTAAAGTTTTCCTAATTATAGCACTCTGTAGCTGTAACTAATGTATGTATTGACACCAAAATTTGCAAAAATGTGGAAAAGGATTTTGCAGGAAAAACAAAAATTTAGTTCTAAAACCTCTGTTAGGAGATGTTTACAGGAAAATACATGAAACAAAACACATTAATAAATTTGTTATTTTAAATGTTGTAAATAGAGTAAGTAAAATCAAGGACATTTATGAAATGGAAACAAAAAATAAGCTGTAGAACACAGTTCATTGCCTTCAAATTTTACAACTGAACAATGAGGCACATATTGAACAACATTCCTCATATCACTAAACAGTTTCTGCAGAAGGAATGCCACTTGCAGAATGAATAAATGCATTTTGTTGTTTTGTTTTGTATATTTTCCTGTAAACATCTCCTAGTGAAAGTTTTTGAACTTAATTTTTTTGTGTAAAATTCTTTACATCATTTGCATAGTCTGTATACAAATTTTGATGTCAATTTGCTTATTGCTCTGAATAGGAAAACTAATTATGACTCTGTAGATATTTGTGTACACATACAAATAATATCTAAGCTTAAAAACTTTATCATGCACTACTAAGTATTATGTCTAATTAAAAAAAAATGCCTCTGTCATGTTTAGGCTGTTCTGAATCACATACATCACATACACCCAATTCTTTTTTAATGGATTTCTTTTAGACAATTTTATATATTTCTTTTAATTTTTAATTACAAGCAGCACTGTCAAATGGCTATCTGGCCTCACCCAAAATTTTGAAATAACACACTCCAGAAAAAATTCAATTCTCTTTTTACACAATTTGTTTTGCAGCATTGAAAGCATTCACAGAGAAATAAACTATTCCTTAACACCTTTTTATGCGAGTTTTTCTACTTGTGTATATATAATTGTCGATGTGACTTCTACCCTACTATTTACATTGTTTTGATCTAATATAGTTTTATGAATTTGCCTTTTTAAAAATCTTCCTTTGATTTTAATTCTAAGAAAAATATTCATAATTTCTTTTTTAAAAAAATTCTTAAAATTTCTGCATTCCACCAAGAAATTGAATTTGGCTCTAGGTTTTGTTAAAACTAGTACCAGTCTTCTATAAAAGTTAGCCAGCATAATTATGCTGGCTAACTTTTATAGAAGACTGGTACTAGCCTTAACGAAACCTAGAGCCAAATTCTTAAAATTTGCATCAGTTATAGACATGCTGAAATAAATCTTAAGATTTGACTGTTATTTATTATTATAGTTATTAAGATTTATTATTACAATTAGACTTAATATAGCCCAATAACACAGTAATTTGTTTGGCTTGGCTGTTCTTTCTACAATTTATTTGAATGTGTATAGCAGCAACAACCAACTTTCATTCTGATTTTATTCCACAATTAAAGCAGTCAGATAAAATTTGATTCAAAGTTTGGCAATCTCTACAATTTGTATGATTGCATTGATTCTAATTTCTTTCAATACAAAATAGTTTTGTATGCTGTTTAGTGTCAAAAACGATAAGCATTTTGATGTTTAATTGAAAAACACAAATAAAAAATAAAATTTGATTCATGCAAATAATATAAATTTATTAAATGTTGCCGATAAGTTATAATCATCCTGCCTCTGATTTATTAACTAAAATTGGAACGTTTTGTTTAAACATATTCTATTACATTAATTGGCTTTCCTTATTATTTTTACTTGCTTTTAAGGTCTGGAATCATCAATCTTCCATTTTTCTACAAGGACAGTATAATGTAAAAACAGAATTGGATGTATTTTTTGAAATTATTATGTAAAAATGACTATAATGGTAAATCTTGCAATGAATTTATTATTGCAATATTATATAGAAATAGATTTAAAATTATTCCTGAGTTCAAGAAATAACAAAAACTGATTAACTATAATTTCCTTGTATGAAGTCACTGAAGAGGCTTATAAGATATTAAAGCTAACTGCAATTTTTAATCATATTCTTAATTTATTCATTTTAAAATATATGTTCTCCATCTAAAATTTGTAGTGTCTTGCTCCTGTACATTATACTTTTCCTGATAACAACAAAGTCATGCCAGTCATCTATGTAACTCCAGGGGAAAATATTTGAATTGAAGTCACATGAATTCAATTCAAATACTTTCCTCTATATGGATATAGTTAATCAGGGCCTCCTGCCCCTAAGTTTTCTATATCTGGTCTCAACTTACATCTACTTAACATCATTCTCGAGATTAAGGACAGGCAGACAGACAGACAGGACAGTGAGAATTTATAGTTATATAATTTTTTCAATTGCAACCGAACCACAAAAACTTCTGTAAGACAGGGCCAATCTAACACAATTTGTTTTAAGAACCCTGTCAATTAGAATAAACATTAGTTCTGAAAATCAGTCATCAAATAAATATTGTAGCTAATAACATTTCTTAATTTGCAACCAAGTCGATTTCATTAATTCTCTAGATCATTTAATAACAAAAAATTTTAAGATTTAGATATGTTATGAAATAAACAAGACAGAATGTTCAACTATTTAACATATTCAATTTGAATTTTTCATTTAACTTTGCCTAAGACACAGAAACCAAAAAATATTTCTTCTTCATAATGTATTGCTTATTGCAAAAAATGTTGAGATTTATCAAGCTAGCTTTCATGAGTATAACCAAAAGATAATTTTATGAATATTTATTACAAGTCACTAAAGGTAATGAATGTTATCATTTCAGAGAGAATGTAAATATTGTATTTTTCACAAGATTTAATTTTTTGACTATTGATACAGTAGACTTGCAATCATCCAGTCCTACATACTATCCATTCTGATCAGCTATGTCATAAAGTATTTTTATAGAAACAAAAGGTACAGTATTATTAAATAATAATATTGTTTAAAAATGCAATCACAAACATTTTCATAAAACAGTATTGTTTTATGAAAATGTTATGTTTTATGAAAATGTTCATAAAACAGTATTGTTTTATGAAAATGTTTAATGTAAATTCTGCGAATAATGCAGCATGGTAATTGTAGGCATCTTACCAGCTTACTTTTGCTGTAAATTCTGTATTAAAACATTATATGATTACAGTCTGTCGGTATGGACTATGACTTTAATTTAGACATAATTTAATCTACACTTAATAAATCTTATCTTTTGCTCAATAAACTGTCACCTTCCTCATACCAAGAATAGCAATGTTGATCACACATCTTAGCCTCGCTTTCCTGATCAGCCACATTCATTATTTTGATGCCATATTATTTTATGAATATCTTAATGGTATTTTAAATTTAAATTATATTTTTATTTATATTCCATCTTTGAACTCATGGAAGAATAAATATAATTCTTAAATCCTTTTTTATCATTCTCTCAAAACTCTCACAATTATAAAGCATCGATTACTTCAGGACTTCTTTTACTTTCAAAAAATATTGTAAAAAATGTTTTTTACATCATGATTTTTTAATGAGAATTATTGTTCTGGGAACAGCCATCAAATGTTTTTGTGAATACTACTGTAAGTCAACTTAAATAAATAAATATGATCATATGTACTGTAAAAGTTACAGCTGAAAAATAAACCACATATGGGACAGACACACATGTGCTTGACTGTACAGGAAATAACTTATCTTCAATCTCAATGTTATCCAGCATTTTCATTACCTGGCCAACTATCCTCCATGTTGAGCTGGATATTGACAATATTTAAAAATTAATTCCTAACAAAAATAATGGCTAAGCAATCAAGACCATCATCAAGTAAGAAAGCTAATGAAAGAAATATCATTTTTGAACAAAACTTTTAAAAATACATTCACCAATTCTCTCTTATATGCAAATTTGATACATGAAAAAAATAATTTATTACCAAACAACAAATTAATTGTCTCTCTACAGCTATGGCAGATATTTTTCCAGTGCTATTATTAACATTTTAACCTTTTAGTCCAATGTGTTTTTTAATCTGTTTATGTGATTGTGGATAATTTTATGTGGCCCAAGTAATTACAGTAGAGCATCATTTATCCGAAAGCATTCCAGTCAGCAAATTTAAATTTTCGCTAGTGCTGTGGCACTGCAATCTTTGGCTATGTCTTGGGCTAGTCCAATATTTTTTTTTTGTTTGTGTATGTGTTTTAGCTGGCAGCACTGGCAATTTTGTGTGGTGTTTTTCCGAGGACTGTGTCATGCTGAATCGAACGTTTTTGATACTATATTAACTTCTAAAGTATAATTTTTTTTGATTTTATATTTTTCAATATATTTATTTTGTTTGTAAAAAATAAAAAAATAATTTTTAACGATACAATAGCCACGATTATTATTTTAAAAAGTTTATGTTCGGCTTAACATCGACGAAAATTCAATGCAAAGCGACACGCAACGGAAAAAAATTTCAACATGGGCTAGGTTAATATATTTTTTCGTACATAATCGGTTATCCGAACAATCCCAGTCCCAATTAATTCGGATAAACGACACTCTACTGTATACCTGACTATGAATTAAGCTTATTTATTAAGCTTATATATGTTTACCTGAAGTTACAGTATGTAACAAAGTATGTACAGTAACTCTAAATTACTATTTAAATGTCACTTTTAATTAACTTCAGTACATATCAATAGGCCTACAGTACAGTCAAATATTTTTCTGTGATTGGTGAAGATTTTTTTTACAAACTGGCAATTGAAGTGCATAAAAAACTTTTTATTGCATGGAAGAAGTGCAGAAAATATGTGAAGAACTAACTAGATAAATAGTGCATTAAAAATATATTAATTTTGTTTGTTAGCAATCAATAACATATGCTCAACATATATGAAAGCAATTATTGATCTATCCTTGTATATAATTACAGGTAACCCCCGTATAACACGGCACTTCTATAGCATGGATTCACTCTAACATGGTTCGAGAATTGATACCATCCCCCGTATAACACGGTACTTTTATAGCACGGATTCACTCTGACACGGTTTGAGAATTGGGTAAAACCCTCGTACAACAGGAAATGTAATAAATTTTTACATACTTAAGTAATAATAGTTCACGAAAATTATTATTTTTGTGAACTATTAGTACTTAAGTATGTAAATTTTCTCTTCTCGCCTTCTGTCGATACACGTGGTCCTTCTCGAAACTTGTTTCAATGTTGCCAGATCGCGACGCTTCTGCTTCTGATGTTGCCGAATGTTTTTCCC